TCAAAGTTCAATGTCAGCAATTAGCTAAGTAAACTCTGGTATATTCACATAATGCTATGTAACTAGCAAAAGTCAAGAAATAGAAATATTAATGACATGACTGGCAGGGCATGGTGGCTCACGCCTATAATCCAAGCACTTTAGGAGGCTGAGGGAGGTGGATCACTTGAGAAGCAGGAGTTTGAGGTCAGCCTGGCCAACATGGTGAAACCCTATATCTACAATTAAAAAACTGTAGAGATTTTAAAAAAATAAAGTAATGAGAAATATTAATGACATCAGAAAATGTTCAACTCCACTAAGTGAAAAAAGCAGGTTACAACACTATATATAGCCTGATGCCAATTTTGGTTTTTCTTTTTTTTAATAACATGTACTTTATTTTCTTATTTGTGTTTTTCTAAATTTCCCAATGTACATTTATTACTTTTATAATAAAAATATGATAAAACCACTAATACAAACCACAAAACACTTGATTATTATATTTTCATTTATAATATACAATTTTCCAATCAAATTTACACTTGTATACTCAGTTGAGTAGAAATAATCTGGTTAAATACAGGTTTCAGAGGTATGTTTTCAACACAAAAAGGATACTGAGAAAAATTTATAGATCATTTCAAGAAATCATTTAAAGCTAATAAGCATGGTTGCGAAATTTCTCACTGCTGGAACTACACACCCCATTTAAGAAAAGACTTGAAGATTTATTATTCTAACCCATTGCTTGTTTTGCACCCTCTTTACAGTATCTCTAAATAAATTTATTTTCTGAATATTCAAATTTGACTATTTCCCCAATTTGAAGCATCAAATGACCCTCCACACAGTAAATATTATAAAACTGCAGATTATTACTTATCATGAGAAATAACTTGAAAACCTATTTACAAATTAACAGCCCATCCATCCAAAGAAGATTATATGTATTTCAATATTACAATTTATAAGACGTCCAATCTGCTCAAAAAGAAAATACAAATTAATTTAGTGTGTTGAAACCACTTGTTTTTGCCAATATAATAAAATATTTGTAAATCATGTAGTGCTCAATAAAAGTGGATGTAAGTTTATAACTGAAACTTCATTCACAAAAAAAGGTCTTTTACTAGCAAAATCTGAATATTACAGCTTTTCAACTACGTTGTAAATAAAAATAATTAAAAATCAATTCAAAAAACTCAGAATAAGTGCTTTATTTTTTAAATCTCACAAAAACTGAAACTATCATTTACATCAGTTGTAATAGCTATAAAAATTAGAAATCAATTTGCTATAACTCTCAAAAACATTTATAAAAACAAAATTAAACAAAAAATAAACAAAAAGGAAAAACTAAGTATTCATTTTAAATAAAAGATAATCTGACTGCTTATGACATACCCACTTGCAGAAATAATAAATAGCAGATGCATTCAAGACAGTGCAAGATTTAATTAATTTAGGACAATATTCCAACCAATCTCAACGCAGGTTTTAAATTACTTGTGCACGTTTACATAGAATCATAAAAATAAACCTCTAATATGTAATCAGCTTATGCCAACTGAGAAAACTACACACCAACACAACAACTGTGGAAATCATGAGATATGACTGGGGGGGGGAAGGAAAACCTAGCATCAAAAGTGCATATACTCACTGTAACTACAATCTTGCTATATATTTCTATGTTTGTTTAAAAAAAAAGTTTTCTTTAAACTATGTGTCTCAAAGGAAAAGTAAATGTATCATTTCATATTCTTTTTTGAATTTAAAAATATATATACGTAATCTTCCTTTGTTTTTGGTAAGTTCAAAATGAATTGACAGTGGGGTAACTGGATTCTTTAAGAAAGCTCTATAGAAGAGAAGAATACAACATACTATATCTTCTTTAAGAAGTATGAGCTGAAATTTTAGGCATTCCTTGTATTGTTTTTAAAATATATTTAAGGAATGCTGTTTTTGTAAAACAATGGCTTTGAAAAAGAAATCTGAGATCAAATACATTACTGGAGGATCTCTATAAAAGGTCACCAAGACTATCCTTGTTTGTGAAATCAGGGAAAACATTTTTAGAATTTATATTGTTAGAAAAAGTGCTACCACTTTTCTTCCTTTTTCTTCTTTCTGATTATCACAGTTAAACATCACAAGATTTTCCCCAAATAAATATTGATGTAAATGTTGACTTCAAGGACAAACAACTTTCATAAGAGTCTATTTCTCAGGCATTTCACCATTTGTTGAGACCACAGGCAGCACTGTATTACTGTGAATTGTCACTGAACTCTGGTGAAGTATTCCTTCCTGGAGAGTTTATTGGAACCTGAAGCTGACTGGCAGATGTAGATTTAGCCGAATTTGGTGGCTTTGTAGAGGAATTAGGTGAAAGTCAGTGACGATTACTCTCCTCACCAGAAGTAGATGAATGCCTTTTTCTCCCAAATTCCTCACTAATAGGGGGCTGCAAATGATAAAAGACAACAGAGTTGACAATTTTACTCTTTTTCCTCCCTTCAAAACCTAAGGCTAGACTTTTCCAAAAAAAAAAAAAAAAGTAAGTTAAATGGACACTTCAGTAGATTTTATTGGTATAACAAAAACTTAACAGCAACTTAAAGTACTAAACTTAAATTTCCTTCCTAACGAAATCAGCCTACCGGCATTTGCTCATTCTTTTACTCAACTTTTTTTTTTTAATGAAGTCTCACTTTGTAGCCCAAGCTGGAGTGCAGTGATGCAATCTTGGCTCACTGCAACCTTCGCCTCTGGGGCTCAAGCGATTCTCCTGCTTCAGCCTCTCAAGTAGCTGGGACTAGGGGCAGGCCACCACACCCAGTTAATTTTTTAAATATTTTTAGTAGAGATAGAGTTTCATCATGTTGCCCTGAGTGGTCTTGAACTCCTGAGCTCAGGCGATCCACCCGCCTCAGCCTCCCAAAGTGCTGGGATTACAGGCGTGAGTCATTGCGATCAGCCTCAACATATGTGTATTAAGCTTCTCTCATGTTGCAGGGCCTGAGCTACATAGGTCATAAGCATAAGGCTGGGTTCCTTGCCTCCAAGAAAATGTTTCAGCGAGGCTATTTGCCTTCTTTATTCAATTTTGTCAACTGTGAAGGATTTCTAACTCCAGTCTCTTTCTCAACCCTAAACTCCTATTCCAGGCTTGCCTAAGTGAAAATGTTTAAATAACAGATAAATGAAAGCAATAGGGGAATAAAAGAGATGCCAAGTCAAATTATTGTTAGCAAGTTTGAAGGTTTATCTAGAATTCCTATGATACGGAGACTGGAGATTATTATTGATGACACCAAATTTAAACATCATCAAACATTTAAGTACCCAAGAAAAGGCATCCTGCAGTCAAAAAAAAAAAAGTCAGCTCTTTAGGCCTTTCCAGTTACCAAGATTTAGAAGCCCAGAACTGGACACCAATGAACTAGTATTTTTATTTGGAGCTAAATTAAGATAGTAACCTCCTCTTCCAACCTTCCATTGTACTTAAAGGAGGAGGCCTGAATTCTTAGCTTATGTTCATATGGGGAAAGAGTCTCAAATATAGAGCAGGGATGTCTTTGTGACAGAATTGGCTAGGCCACATTAGAAAAATAGCTCTTAATTCCAGAGATAGGCACTTCTATTAACTCTATCCCTGGGTCATTAAGTCCATTTGCAACACAAAGCAGAGAGAAACCTAGCCTTCCTTTTACCTCTCTGTTTTCTAAGTTAAAATTTTCTTCTGGGCCGGGCGCGGTGGCTCACGCCTGTAATCCCGGCACTTTGGGAGGCCGAGGCGGGTGGATCACAAGGTCAAGAAATCGAGACCATCCTGGTCAACATGGTGAAAACCCGTCTCTACTAAAAATACAAAAATTAGCTGGGCATGGTGGCGCGTGCCTGTATTCCCAGCTACTCAGGAGGCTGAGGCAGGAGAATTGCCTGAACCCAGGAGGCGGAGGTTGCGGTGAGCCGAGATCGCGCCATTGCACTCTAGCCTGGGTAACAAGAGCGAAACTCCGTCTCAAAAAAAAAAAAAAAAAAAAAATTTTCTTCTCCCTTTTTTTTTTTTTTGAGACAGTCTCATTCTGTTGCCTAGGCTAGAGTGCAGTGGCACAATCTCAGCTCACCGCAACCTCTGCCTCCCAGGTTCAAGCAATTCTTGTGCTGCAGCCTCCCCAGTACCTGGGATTACAGACATGCACCATCAGACCCAGCTAATTTTTGTATTTTTAGTAGAGACAGGGTTTTGCCATGTTGACCAGGCTGGTCTTGACCAGGAGCGCCCCAGGTGATCCACCCACCTCGGCCTCCCAAAGTGCTGGAATTACAGGTGTGAGCCATGACCACATCCAGCCTTTTCCCCTTATTTTTTAAATTTCTCTTCTTCCTCTTTTTTCCTCTTACATTCATGACTTTTAATGCTTTTCTTTTCTCTTGAAATCAAATTGATAAAGCCTATATATATAGGTTCAACCTTCAACCAAAGGTAATGAGAAGAACCCATGAGAGTGGACAACGTCATAAGATGGCAGCAAAAGGACCTTGTCCAGTTGATTCAACTAAAAGATACCATTCTCATGCTTGCACACATGCACACAATATTCTCTCCTTAATTTTATTATGCAGGAACCCTAAATCTGTATCAGCACATGTTATAGAAATTATATGGATAAAAGATCATTAAAAAGTAAAAAGTTTTCACATTGCTAGTGACAAATTAGCATATCAGATAAAAATTAATAAATCTAAAAAAGTTTAATTATAGCAGCATACAAAAATTAAATTAACAATTGCACTGTGGTTATATAAGATGTTAACAGTTGGGAAATTTAGTGAACAGAGTCTATGGGAATTCTCTGAACTATTTGTATACCTATTTCAAAGTTTAATTTCAAAATTAAAAAGTTAAAAAATAAAAATCACAAAATTAAAGTTTAAAAAGTCACAGATAAGAGATTGAAATATATGGATAATAAAAAGAATAGAGGAAATGACTTAAAACTTACATCAACACGGAAGTCTTCTAACCTCTTAAAACTACAGAGGTATTCCTGAAGTTTTGGGTCAATGGACTGTGTCTTAGACTGAGAATATTTCAAATAAGCCCAAAACTTTTCTAGTCCATACAGCTGACCTAATAGCAAAGAAAAATCTATATTATAAATTATGTAAAAAATATTATTCACATTAAATATAATCCTATCAGCAATAAATCATTTATCTTCCAATACATACTTACTCTGTATCTTGAGAACAAGACATGTAATGAATTAACAATAATGGCAGCTAACATTTATTGAGCATTTGCTATGTAACAAGTATTAAGTGCTTTATTATGCACCAAACTAATTTGAACTATAAACAACCCAAAAGATGGGTGTTCTTGTATATGTTACAGATGAGAAAACAGGCTAGCAAGTTACCCATAGTCACATAGCTTCTAAATAGTGGAAAGGGGATTTGGACCTCTAGAGCCTGCACTCTTAACCACTGTGCTATTTCTGCCTTTCTGAGCTTACCCGCTGATGTTGCACAGAATTTTCATGTAATGGAACATCAGTGAGTAGCTATGTTTGTGAAAGGGATAATGACAAAATACACCTCCATACCAGAAAGACTTGAAAGACTTGAGAGTAGTTACTTTCCAACACCTCACAGGTAGGGCCTTCTTACTACATGGTACCCCATCAAGAAACATAATAATGGCATGAAGGTCTTAAATGGTTTGCCCTGAAGGAACAAACTATGAACTCCCTCCCTATTTACTGACAAACTCAGGCTTACAATTTCCAAATAGGGTAAGTTTTTTGTTGTCATTATTACCAGATTCGTAGTCTTTTTTGGTTTCTTCTTGGAAATCCTTAAAAATCTCTCGTCTGAATTTTTTTTCCAGTCCATAGCTGTAAAACCTGAACAGACATTCTAACCCATACCTATAAAGATAAAAGGTTTATAATAAAATACAATCTCTGTGTAGTTAGTAACATCAATATAAGCAAACAAATAATCCTAAATGAAAAATAAAATTTTAATATTCAGAATTTTTTGCCTTTTTGAGACAGAGTTTTCTTTGAGATGGAGTCTCGTTCTTGTTGTCCAGGCTGGAGTGCAATGGCACAACCTCGGCTCACTGCAATCTCCGCCTCCCTGGTTCAAGCTGTTCTCCTGCCTCAGCCTCCCAAGTAACTAGGATTATAGGTGCCCACCACCACATCTGGCTAATTTTTTGTATTTTTAGTAGAGACAGGATTTCACCATGTTGGTCAGGCTAATTTTTGTATTTTTAGTAGAGATGGGATTTCACCATGTTGGCTAGCACACTCAAAATAGCAGAGTAGAGCTGTGGGGAGGTGGTTAATGGATAGAAAGGCAACAAAACGTACCCTGCTCTGAGAGCAGACTTGTCTTTATTAAACAGGCAAATGTTTGTGGGTAGAAAATAAAACAAGATCAAAGAATTGAGGAACTGGTTGCTAAGGAAGGTCACAGAAAACTCATAAATGAGGGGAATAGAACAACCTTCAAACTCACACATCTGAATATTTTAAGATCGTGGGCCAAGCAGGTAAGTATGCTTCTGGCCCAATGTCTAGAGCTGTTAGAGTAACTCTGATGCAATGATTGAATGAGGAGGCATCATAGCAGCTCTTCTTTATTTATATAAAAACATCAGAGAAAACATTTTCTGCCAAAGATACTTATACTAGCAGCAGTATGAAGAATGCATTGAGCTTTCTTCATGCCAGGCACCATGCTTAACACTGTAAATACCTTATTATTAGTTTTCAGAACAGTGAGAGATAATTACTATATTCTTCATTTTGCAGATGAGGAAACCTGTACTAACAGAAAATAAGTGGCTTCCTCAAGGTTATACCAATTAAATTAATGATAGAAGAGGGACACAATTCTGTTTTGATATCTGACAGCAAAATAGAAATTCAGAACATTTTATTAATAAATAGGTTATGGAAGTCTGTTAAAAAACAAAGACTAAAGAATCTCTCAGACCCCAAAGCAGCGCTCTAGAACAGAAACAGTCCTGTCCCGGAAATCAGGTGACCAGGGTTTCTGGACCTGCTCCATTGCTAACTAGCTCTAAGGCTTTTGAAGAGTTGGACTAGATTACCCTAAAATCTATTCATATTCTAAATAGAAAAATTAAAAAAAACTATGCTTTCTAAAAATCCCATAGACTGACTAAAAAGCCAGGCTGGTTTTGAACTCTTGACCTCAGGTGATCCGCCCACCTCAGGCTGCCAAAGTGCTGGGATTATATGCGTGAGCCACTGCCCCCAGCCAGTATGCAGATTTTTAACTGAACTGGTAATTAGTAATCCATAGCTGGCTTTGCTATTTTTGATGACTCAGCCATAGCACATCATGAAGGTATACTGAGATGCACACAGTATCTCTCCCTGGTATTTCTGAAGAACTGGCCAAAAGATTTAGTGACAAATTGGGAATGTGTTAGATTTTTCCCAAACCAAAATTTATAATGGTGTGTCTATACACAGTATTAAATAAATATTCTTGAAGTAAGCTTTACTTCAGGAAGATAAAGACCATACTGCTGTGCCCTAGATCCTAGATGTGGTCGTCCCTTTCAACTACAATAGTACAAACATAATTAAATGGTTAAGAGAGCCTCCCTGCTTTCATTATAAAGTACAATAGTAGATATATTGCTAATAGGGCTATGATCAGTACATAAAGGAGAAAACAAATTTCCTTGTTTCTGTCTGTAACTACCTAGAGAACCTAGCAGTTCTGTTCAGTGGATCGATAAACTATATAGGCTCAACCTTCAAACACAGGTGATGAGCAGAACCCATGACAGTGAAACAAGGCTATAAGATGGCAGTAAAAGGACGCTGTCTAGCTGATTCAACGAAAAGATACCACAATTAAAATACTCCTCAGTTAGAATACTAAGTCATTCTAGGTACCACAGCAGAAAGGTTACCACCTCTTCATTCTGGTAACATAATATTAACTGGCTGTTGGTCACAGAAAGCAGGGTATTGAGTGTGTGTCTCTTTTGTAACTGGCTTATTTATAAGAAAAAGAGCGATGATCTGGCAAACCACCAAGAAAAATGCAGGACTGCCAACTATACACTGAAACACTAACCTGAGCCGTTGGCTCCCATAGCCTTAAGTGATGCTACTGGTTGAGACTGCATGACTGAAGTCTAAGGATATTAAAGACTAAAAGAACCACCATTCAGAATGAAAAACTTGCTTTGATGCTCCTCTTATGGGATCATAGTATGCCGACATCAGTTGTTCTCAATCTTAGCTACATATTATAATCATCTGGGGAGCTTTTAAAAAATACTGATGCCCAAGCTCTGCTCCAAACCAATGGCATCAGGATCTTTTTTTAAAATTTATTTAAAAATTTTTTGTGGGTATACAGTAGACACATATACTTATGGGGCAAATGACATGTTTTGATACAGGCATGCAAGGTGAGATAAACACATCCTGGGAAATGGAGTATCTATCCCCTCAAGCATTTATCCTTTGAGTTACAAACAATCCAATTACATTCTTTTGCTTTTTTTTTTTTTTGAGACAGAGTTTCGCTCTTGTTGCCCAGGCTGGAGTGCAATGGTGTGATCTTGGCTCACCACAACCTTCACCTCCTGGGTTCAAGCAATTCTTCTGCCTCAGCCTCCCGAGCAGCTGGGACCACAGGCATGCACCATGCCCAGCCAATTTTGTATTTTTAATAGAGACAGGGTTTCTGCACGTTGGTCAGGCTGGTCTTGAACTCCTGACCTCAGCCTCCCAAAGTGCTGGGATTACAGTCGTGAGCACAGCGCTCAGCCTCCAATTACACTCTTTAAGCCATTTTATTTATTATTTTATTTTATTTTATTTTATTTTATTTTTTGGAGACGGAGTTTTGCTCTTGTTGCCCAGGCTGGAGTGCACACTCTTGGCTCACTGCAGCCTCCTCCTCCCAGGTTCAAGCAATTCTCCTACCTCAGCCTCCCAAGTAGCTGGGATTATAGGTGCCCTCCATCATGCCTGGCTAATTTTTGTATTTTTGGTAGAGACAGGGTTTTTACCATGTTGGCCTGGCTGATCTTGAACTCCTGATGTCAGGTGATCCACCCACCTCAGCCTCCCAAAGTGCTGGGATTACAGGCATGAGCCACCACGCCTGGCCTCTTTAAGCCATTTATACACAGTTAAGCCACTATTGTCTATAGTCACCCTATTGTGCTATCAAATAATAGGTCTTATTCTTTCCAACTGTTCTTTTTTTTTTTTTGAGGCAGAGTCACGCTCTGTCGCCAGGATGGAGTGCAATGGTGCGATCTCGGCTCACTGCAAACTCTGCCACCCGGGTTGAAGCGATTCTCCTGCCTCAGCCTCCTGAGTAGGTGGGACTACAGGTGCGCACCACCACGCTCAGCTAATTTTTATATTTTTTAGTAAAGACAGGGTTTCACCATGTTGGCAGGATAGTCTCGATCTCTTAACCTAGTGATCTGCCCTCCTCAGCCTCCAAAGTGCTGTAATTACAGGCTTGAGCCATTGTGCCCGGCCACAACTATTTTTTTTGGACCCAAAATCAGAATCTTTGAGGTGAAGCCTAGGTAGCTTTCTTTATTTCTGGAGAAAGATGTTTTTGGTTTTGTCAAGTAAATTGGTATTTTAGAGGAATATAGAAATTCTTAGTTTTATAAAGGATAATAATACAACATTTATATTGAATAGGCAATATTTGGATTTTTACTATTATTTCTTAGCAAACTATTCCAAAGACCAAAAGTATGACATTAATAACATAACCCAAATATGCAGCATAACTGCTGGAGTGAAGGACCGAGGCAAATGACCAGCTCTCTCAGTTATCATTTACTCATTTACTACTCACTGCAAGACAGCTCAGAGGAGTGGAGGACCTAGAGGCTTAGGCTAGAACTAGAAAGAACTATATTTGAATCTTAGGCTTGTAATTATATCACTGAAACTGGAGTCAATTGGATCCTAGTTTTCAAAAATAAATAATTTGTAAAGCTTCTAGACCAGAGCTAGCACACTGAAGAGATGTAAGAAATGTTAGCTCTCTCCCTCCTTCCTGAAATCACATTATTACTACCTTCAACCAATGGATATAATTACTATCTATCTTCCTAATAACAATAATAATCTGGCTGGCCACAGTGGCTCACGCCTATAATCCTGGCACTTTGGGAGGCCAAGGCAGGTTGATCACTTGAAGTCAGGAGTTCAAGACAAGCTTGGCCAATATCATGAAACCCCATCTCTACTAAAAATACAAAAATTAGCTAGGTGTGGTGGTGGGTGCCTGCAGTCCAGCCTATATGAAAGAGTGAAACTCTGTCTCAAAAAAAAGAAAGAAAGAATCATCTATCAAGCACTTACTACACATAAGTTACTGTGTTAAGCTCTTTACACGCTTTATGTAATCTTCATAATAACCCCATGAAAGAGTATCCTAATTTAACCTTTTTATTTGAGATAAAGTCTTGCTTTGTCGCCCAGGCTGATGTGCAGTGGTGCAATCTTGGCTCACTGCAACCTCTTCCTCCCAGGCTCAAGCAATTGTCATGTTTCAGCCGCCCAAGCAGCTATAAATTCAGGCCACCACACCCAGCTAATTTTTGTATTTTTAGAAGAGATGGGGTTTTGCCACCTTGGCCAGGCTGGTCTCAAACTTCTGGCCTCAAGTGATCTGCCTGCCTCAGCCTCCCAAAGTGCAGGGATTACAAGTGTGAACCAGCATGAGCCTGCTGGGATTATAATCTGCCAAGGTCACAGTAAATTAATAGCTGAGACTCAAACATAGGTCCGATTTCAAAAGCTTCAGGTGCTTAACCACTACTTCCTAAGAAGTAGCTAATACAGTCTAGTGGTAAATACTGCAGAAACAGAACCAAAGGTAGGAAATTGTGTTACAAAAGTATTAGAAACATACACAGAGTTATGTGTATAGGAACACAGAAGAGAAACTCCCAACCTAGATTTGGGTGAGAATGGGATCAGAGAAGTTATTAGAAAGTTTTAAGGAACATAAAGAAATTGTACAAATAGAAAAATATGCTGAGATCAATTAGAACAATGGCTTTCAAACTTTTCTGACTAGGTCCAATACTAAAAAAAATATTTTACCTTATAACTAAATCAATATGTACATATCTCTATATAAAAACGTATGTTTATAAAAACATGTTTTACAAAACAATTCTTAAATTCATGTATATGTGGGTATGAATTAAATTTGTATGTATGAATTACTATGCTCAGTGCAATCTGGTATTTTCTACTCTATTTTCTAAAGCACTTAGAACCACTAAATTGATTTTACGATCGACGAATAGGTGGCAAACCACAGTTTGAATAAGGAACAGTGAGATTAGAAATGACAAATTTTGCCTTTTATGCCAACTCTGGTAAACTGGCAGTAGCTATTAAAGTCACAAGGAAGAGTATAAATCTGAAAAGTGAGGTAAGAAAGAACATAAAATATAACTGGGATTGATTAGAGATGTCAGTAATAGACAGAAGAGAAAGAAATAGAGGTACATATACCATGTGTCTGCTGTTCCTGATCTAGATAACACACAAAAATTAAACATGCTTTGTTTTTAGATAAGTCAACACAAATAAAATTTTAATTAGAAAAATGTATTTGTATTACCTTGTATTCTTCTCAAAGATCATATCTGATAAACAATATATATTTGAGATTTACAAGAGGAATCCATTTTCAGAACTTAAAGAAGGGTAAATTTAGGTAACTATGATTGGATGAAAAATCATCTTTTTCCCTTCTCTCCGTCTCTTGTGCCTTTCTCCTTTTCACCATAAACAAATCGCCTTTATGAGTCCATGCCATGTTCCTTTTCACCCTCTTGGCCTGCCCTCACTCAGCCTACACTTACTCTCAAGACTTGCCCTGAACATTTCTGAAGGAAGCAAGGTCGAAGCTGGGACATAAAGAACAGGATTTAGAAAAGCACAGGGAGGAATAAGAGAAGTAGAAGCAAAGGTAAGAACATGCACAGATGTCCAGAGGCTAGAGAGTTTGGTTCACTCAAAGAACATGTAGTTCAGTGCCACTGTTGCCCAGAGTGCTAGAGGACAAATGGGGAAAAAATTAGACAAGGTGAGTCAAGGGACATATTGTGAGAGGCGTTGCTTTTTCTTTTCTCAAAGAATCTTAAGAACTGGGTTGGCTCTAAGCATATATCAATTGGGGTATGTATATGTCCATCCAAGGAAAGTCTGTAATGGTGGGAACATGGGAGAGAAAAGTCTTGTAATTTCCTTCAGCCCTTGTGCCAGCCTCTAAGATGGTTCCTAATGATCCCATCTCTTGGTATTAACAACCTTGTGTAGTATCCTCCTATACTGTTCCAGGACTGGTCTGCAATGACAATACAATATGGCAGAAATAATGGTATGCCACTTCCAAACGCAGGCTGTATAAAACACTGAGGCTTCCATTCTGGAAGCTCTACTCACTCAGGGTGAAACCATATTATAAAATGCCCTAGGGAAGGTCAATGTGGCAAGGAACTAAAGCCTCCTGCCAACAGCCACGTGAATGAGCTTGAAGAAGATCCTCCAGCCCAGGCCATGTCTTCAGATACTGCAGCCCCTTTCGACACCTTGACTGGAAGCTCATGAGAAACCATCAGCCAGAATCACCCAACCACACAATTGCTGGGCACTCAACTCTTAGCAACTATGAACTAACAAATGTTCACTGTTTTAATCTATGGAGTTTTGGGGTAATTTGCAATGCAGAAATAGAAAACTAATACAGCCCTCCCTCCAGTTACATTGCACTACTTTCACAGTTCAAAATCAGGCTACTTCAGTACTCGTTTTTAAAATATTTTCATTTTTTTAATTATTATTGTTGGGTTCACAAGTAGAATTTTCTAAAAACTTCCTCTGTTGGATCTACCTGGGTAAAGAAAAAAAAAAAAAAGAAAAAAATAAAACTCCCACAAAGTGTAAAAATATTAGAAAATATCTGACCTGTAATTTTCTTTTGCATCTTCCCAAGCAAGTTGTCTAAATTCCTCATACATTTTTTTATTGAAGTGATCTCTGAGGAAAAAGGACCAGAAACGAAAGAGGGTATTCATTTCTTGGGACTGACCAATTCCCAAGCGTTTTCTCTCTGAAAAAGTTAAATATTATTTTATTAAACATACTTTCTAAATCAAGACAGCAGATATTATACATAAAATGAAGAAAGTTCAACCATATTAATCCTCAAAATGTATTTCAGTTTCTTCCAAATAGAGCAGGGAATCCCCAACCCCCAGGCCACAGACTGCTACCCTATTGTAAACTGTACATGTTAGGGATGTAACACTCCTTATGAGAATCTAATGCCTGATGATCTGAGGTGGAACAGTTTCATCCAAAACCATCACCCACTTCCTCATAGAAAAATTTCTTCCTGGGCCGGGCACGGTGGCTCAAGCCTGTAATCCCAGCACTTTGGGAGGCCGAGGCGGGTGGATCACGAGGTCAAGAGATCGAGACCATCCTGGTCAACATGGTGAAACCCCGTCTC